AGAATAAAATATACTCCTTCACATCTGTTTAGACCATAAGTCAGTCAGAAGTGACTCTTAAGGGTTGTAGGAAGAAGAGTCTTTCTCTCCTTGAAAAAATTAACTTGGAACTAGAGTCAGTAGGAGAAAGGGTTGTAGATTGCATTAAACTAAGAAAGATAATCTTTTTTTTTCTCTTTTTTTTTTCTCTCCCTAAGCAGATCAGTCAGGCAATGAGTGTAGGGCAGCCCTTGCTAACTTCAGCTGGTGGGGCCTAGTGTTCATTTTCTGGATGTCTCCCCTCTCTCATCATTGATTTGTCGTTTGGTTTTAGCTGTCCAGCTTGACTAGCATTTTGTCTCCTCCAGTCTGCTGGATCTGTTGCTACTCAGGAACTTCTGGCCATGTCAGTGACACCCCCACAATGGGGGCCTGCCTTGTACCTGCTGACTTTTTCCTTATAACGTTGTCACTGTTTCACTGTCTTGAAGTCTGTCCAGCCATTAGCTTCACTAAGAAGTTAGCCACAGGTTTGTCTTGCGAAGGAAGCGGGTGAACACCAAGTCCTTGGTGGTCTTTCATGAGTCATCTATTCTTCTGCAATGGCCCTAGCAGAAGTTCCTCCTGTTCTTAAGCTACACACATAGCAGACATCTACAGTAGAGTTATGGTGCCCTCACTAGGTATTGGTTCACTGCAAACCTTTTAAAATGGGCTGCTCTAATGTAGTTGTAGCACCAGAAGCAAAGGCATTTGCTTGCATGAAAAATATATAATTTGCTGATACTCTCCTGAGTGATTGTTTAAACAGACCTCTGTGCATCCATATCAAAGGCATTTGGTCACAGAAAAAAATCTGAAAGATTAATGTCATAATTCTGTCTTAACTATTTATTCAAAGTCAAAATTTTCAGAGAAAATACAGGTGCAGTTATCACATCAGCTTGTGCCTAAGCTCTGCATCCTGACTTTTTGGTTAGAGAAGGACACAGAACTTTAGACAACTTATTTTCCCCTAATATTAACTTTATTAGGGGACTCAGACTGCTACTAAGAAAAGAGGTAACCTTGTCTATGCACCAATTCATAGCATCTGCTTTTACTGACTACTGAAAGAGTAGTTTGGATGTTTAAGACAGTGTCTTGAGAAACATTGCTAGCTCATGTGGTCCTGTGGTTTGAATAGTGGTGACCACTAATGGTCTATTAACTATGGAAATCATAGAATATGTTGTATTTTTATCTTTTTTTTAAAAAAAAAAAAAGAAGTAATACTGCTGTCCAATTGCACACTAAGCAAAGAGTAATTTGTAGAAGTGATGGCAGGCAAAAATAATACATGTTGAATAACATGTCCCAAAACATTCCTTTGACTAGCCTTTAATAGTGAATTTTTACGTTCCTGTCTTATCGGTGCTGTGTGTGATATTTTTGTCATGGTAGTAACTGCAGTTTTCTATGCATCACAGGCAAATTCATTCTACACATTTATTCGTATTTTTTTTGCAGATCCTGAGAGTTTTAGTACTTGATTGCTGTAGAGAAGTTGTAATGTGAATAAACACAAAGCTTTTCTCAACTTTTTATTTTCTGTCTTGACACTTTCAGAAATAGGATCTGTATTTGTCATCTTCTATCATCTTTCTATTTCACTGGTCAGACAGGATGGAGGCATAACTGCTTTTTAGAGTTCCTAAATTGCTTTTCCATGTGTCCAAGGAAAGACTGAATTGTTTAAAAATTACTTGTTCCAGACCTCATCTTGACTGCATTATCATCAGTTACTCTTCAGAGGTGTTTGTATCTCTGTTCCTGACAGCGTCTTCCAAGGCAAAAAGTGCTGATAAGTCATGCTGAAACAAAGTTTTAAATGAAGCTGATTAAGAGTACATTGCAATTTTTGGTCTTACAGTCTACATAATAGAAGTGTTTAAAATGATAATTGAAATTAAAGCAGAATGGTTTTTTTGTTGCTTTAACTTCTGATATCAATGCATTTTTATTTCAGCTCTGTGGAAACTTTTCATCTAGATTTGGCACAGAACCACAGGTAAGCTTTTTGTAAAATGGCCATCTTTATATTTAGGGAAAATTCATGTTTTAATTTTCTGCTTTATGTTTTCTGTAAGTGGATAAACTGGATCAAATAAAGTTAAAAAGTCATTTATCTAGAGATATGTTTTCAATCAATTAGAATCAGCAAAACTATTCATGCACAGTATTACACTTGGGAATTCAACAAATTAGATCAGCAAATTGTGTTTCAGCTGCTTGTGTACATAACTTCCGCTCCAGAATACTGGGACAAGACTAAAAATCATCAGAGACTTGTGCTGCACTCACTGAAATGTGTAATGCTATTTTCTTTATCAATTAGATTTCTGGGAAGTCAAGCGATAGCGAAACTACATAAAATGGCACCTCTTTATATAAGAGTAGACATAAGTATTAGCCGCACATCGTGGGCAATATTTTGCATTTTTTTGGTTAATTTCCACCATTGGGAGTGTGTGGATTTGGGTGCTACCCACGGCTGGAGTGGAGAGTTCCCCAGGGCAGGGGAGCAGCGGAAGAGGCCGGCTGCAAGGGGAGAGTTGGGTGCTCTGCCAGGGCAGCGTAGCAAATATTATTATTTAGAGCAAATGAAATCACAGCCCGGCACCTGTAATGGAGAGAAAAAAAATCTTTTACTACCTTATGTATGAACCAGCATTCATCCTCATAACCAGCATGTCAAAGACTCTCTCTCATTATTTCACTTCTGACTTTCTCATAATTTTATTGGAAGTTTCGCACCTGCCATTTTAAAAATGTTTTTACTGATCTTCAGTTGTAGATATGTCCCCTAGCTGCAAATTTAGGGACGATTTTAGGGTAATGCTGTCCTTCATTAAAGGACAGTTACTCGAAAAAATATCTATAATCTACATTAATGCAGTGAAGAAATGAGTGTTTCCTAAGTACAAGGAGATGGTAACGATGGTTTCCTTCTTGGATATTTATTTGCCAGGAAGTTATCATTAGCTATGGTCATTTTTTTTAAGATGGATTTTCCTTTTTGTATGGCTTAGATGAATGAAAGATATCTTTATTTTTGTAATGGAATTCCAGATCACCGAAGCCAGAAGGCCTGGAAAGTTAAAGCCAAAAGATCAGTGACTTGATCTTCATAAGCTTAAACAGTGAATTTGCTGAAAATGTAGTATATGAACTGCTAAAGTTCAGTGGTCATTTTAGGCAACGTCTTAGTATTAGTCTGAATTTGGATCTTCAGTGACTGTTTCTGCATCATTATGTATTAGGAAACTGTAAAAAATAGCTAAGAAACTTTGTTTGTGTGCAAATATTTTCTTCCAAAAATGTATCAAGTAACTTAGCTCCTGACAAATAAAGGTAAAAGTGGATAAGAACCCAAAACATTCAGAGGTTCTGGTTGCAGGCGGCTGTGGAGCAGTCTCTGCCTGCTTTATCAATCCTAGCCTGTGATTTAAAAACCAATTAAGGCAGTGACCAAAATATCTGACTTGTTAACGATTTCTAAACTTCACTTTAAACTTTTTATTGTGAAATGTTCTATATTTGTATTTTGTCTGTCATTCCTTCATGTGGGGGAAAAAAGCATGCATACCATATATGTGTTTTTATCACTTCTTTCCTGTGAGGGTGACAGAGCCCTGGCACAGGCTGCCCAGAGAGGCTGTGGAGTCTCCTTCTCTGGAGATCTTCCAAACCCACCTGGATGCCACCTTGTGCCCCGTGCTCTGGGTGTCCCTGCTGGAGCAGGGGGTTGGACTGGGTGGTCTCCAGAGGTCCCTTCCAACCTCAACCATTCTGGGATTCTGTGATGCACAAGCTGCTCTCTGCACTGCAGTAGCAGTTTTGTCAGGCGTTATTTAGTTGGTTGTTTTCATGTGAGAACCATGTCAGTGCAACGTGCTGCCTTCTATCAGTCCAGGTGCCACTGTTACCAAGCAGCAAGAACCTATAAATTGGTAGGGTGGTTCTGTGTGTTGGAGTTTGAGAGAGAGAACTAGTGTTAATCCTGTTTCATTTCTACCACTAATTTGCAAAAAAAAATTCAACTTCTCTTTTTATTTTTCTT